CCCCCCCCCCCCCGGGGTCGTGTCCCCCCCAGCCAGCCGTTGACTTCTTCACCCACGAGGTCATGATCCACCCAGTGACGAATCGCCCAGCGGACAAGCGGAGCTTCATCCCCTCCCTCATCGAGAAGGAGAAGGTGAGAGGTCTGACGGCTCCTTGGGTGAGCTGGGAGCACAAAGCCAAACTCTGCTTGTGGCTGGAGCCCCCAGGCAGCCAGCAGCGCTGAAAGCTGGTGACTGTGGCTGTTCTCCTGTCCTCAGTCCCTCCTGTCCCTGCCGTGGCCCACCCACCCCCACGACTGTTCCTGCTGCAGCAGCTTGTGTCCACGTGTAAACCCGTGCCAAGTCCTCCAGTGCTGTGCAGCCCCCCCGGGCTCCCAGGGCTGCAGAGTTGCACCCGGCAGCTTTCATTTCCATCCTCACATCCCACACCTCCTCCTCCCCAAGCCTGCAGAGTCCTGTGGCTCCTGGGGGTGACCTCTCCTTGCCCCACAGGTCTCCAAGCTAGTCCACGCCATCAAGATGGGCTGGATCAAGCCCCGTAAGCCCAAGGACGACACACCTACGTACTACGACCTCTGGGCTCACGAGGATCCCAACTCCATCCTGGGCCGCCACAAGATGCACGTCCCAGCCCCCAAGATGAAGCTGCCCGGGCACGAGGAGTCCTACAACCCCCCACCCGAGTACCTGCTCAGCGAGGAGGAGGTAAGGGGGGGCCGTGGGCCGGCAGGAGCCACAGGGCAAAGCACTGGGCACACGGGGAGCTCAGTAGGTGCCGGGGCCGGGGAGGGCAGCGGGGGAAGTCGCACCCTAGAGACCGCGTTGTGTCGAGATGAGTCGAGACCTTGCAAGGAAAATGAAAGCAAAGGTTCCTCAGCCCCCTGAATAAAAAAAACCCAGGGTGAGGGGTGTCCCTGCGACAGAAAGCTACAGCCTCCAAGCGAAGCTGCTGCGGGGTGTCCGCGGGCGGGGTTCGTCCTGGCACGCTGCGTCCAGAAGCACGTTCAGCCCAGGGGCTGGGGGGCAAAAACAGGCAGCAAAACCCTGGCAGGCTGAGGAGGGCTCGGCTGGAGGCAGACAGGGAGCGTTGGGGCAGAGCGGGTAAGCGCGGTGTCTTGCGGAGTGGCGTGGTGCTGGCCGGCGAGAAACCAGCGTGAGGATGGTTCTTGCTGGGCTCGTGGGGATGTGTCGGGGCTGGGGCAGCGGCACCTCACCATCCGGGGGTGCCGACCCGGGTCCCCTCCGCCCCGCAGAAGCTGGCCTGGGAGCAGCAGGAGCCAGCCGAGCGGAAGCTGAACTTCGTGCCCCAGCAGTACCGGTGCCTGCGGGCGGTGCCTGCCTACTCCCGCTTCATCCACGAGCGCTTCGAGCGCTGCCTGGACCTCTACCTCTGCCCGCGCCAGAGGCCAGGTGTCCTGGGGACGTTTCAGACTGGCCTCTGCTCGAGCCTGCGTATGCCCCGATGCCACCCGGATGGTCAGGGGCCCGCGATGCTCTGGGGCACAAACTGCTGCTCCTAAAGGCCTCTTGCCCCTCACCTACCCGCAGTGCCGGTCCCAGCTCGCTGCAGAGCTCCTGAGCTGGGACAGGGCTGTGCCCATGCTCGCAAAAGTGCTGTCTTGTGACCCCCCCCCTCTGGCTCAGAGCCCCACGCCCGGGCTTTCCGACCCGAGCCTGCCCTGGAGCTGCGGGGCTGTACGGCCTGTGCACGCCGGGCACCAGCACCGGCGCCGGGGGAGTGCTGGGGGGCCGAGGTGCAGCCTGGGTCTGGCTCACCGCCTGCCTCTCACAGGTCAATGTGGACCCGGAGGACCTGATCCCCAAGCTGCCGAAGCCACGGGACCTGCAGCCCTTCCCGACCACCCAGGCCCTGGTAAGTGGATGCGCGGAGCCGGGGGGGCTGCTGTGCATGCCCTTGGCGGTGGGCTGTGGCCAAGGCAGTCCTGGTGAGACCGGGCATGCCCACGCACCCATAACGGCTGTTCTGGGCACAGCTGCTGCCTGCTTTCCTGGAGGGAGAGAACCTGCCCTGCAGCCCCTGCTGGGCAGAGCCAGGCGGCAGCGGGGTCCTGCCCGCAGCGGGTGAGGCAGGAGTGGGACCAGTGCCGTTGAGGATGGGCAGAGCAGGGGACCTGCCCCGGGGAAAGAGCAGGGGCCCCAGGTCTGCTCATGCAGGGTGGCTGGCGGCATGCAGACCTCTGCTGTCCTCTAGACACAAATGACCCCAGGCCCCCTCTCCCCGCTTGAGGAACCCGGGGCCGGGCAGGGACGTCCCCACAGAGGAGCCGCTGGGCTGCGTGGGGCCCTCACCCGCCTCCCGTCTCCCCCCCAGGTCTACCGCGGGCACACCAGCCTGGTGCGTTGCCTCAGCATCTCTCCCAGCGGGCAGTGGCTGGTGTCAGGTAAGGATTCGCCCCCCAGACCGAGGCATTCTGGACACGCCGGGCACTGCTGGCCTGGCCCCAGTGCCGGAGCTGGTCCCAGTGTCACCCCGTGCCAGTGCGGGGCTCGGGGCAGCCAGGCTGCCACCCTGCGTGCGTTTGAGAGCTGGGGTTCCTGTGAGTGGTCAGGCGCCTGCCAGCCCCCTCCACCGGTGCACAGCTGTGGGGGAAGCCTGGCAGGAGGCTGGGAGCATCCCTGGGAGTCCTGCGGCTGCCCAAGACAGCAGCGCGTGTCCCCCAGCCTGCGGGAAGGCGCGTTGCCTCCAGAAAGCTCCGTGGGTTTTTCCAGCCGCTCTCGGGACCCCACCCAGGAGCCTGCGTCCCTCCCGCTCAGCAGTGGAGAAAGTGAGGCTGGAGGAGTAAACGCGGAGCCCTGCGCGGCCGGCCGGAGGCTGGAGATTGAGAGCAGATGGCAGTTTAACAGCCCACAAAGGCACATGTGCTTTTTATAGCGCTGGAGTTTCCAGGCTGCCAGCTCCCGGTGGCCGCGGTGTCGGTTGGTTGCACAACGTGGAATTCCTGGCCCTGGGCTGGGAAAGTGGCTGAGATCAGGCGTTAAAAATAACCCGACCTGCGGGGACGCGCGCACACCGCCGGCTACCTGCTCACGCCACGCCCTCCCCGGAGCAGCCCTGCCCGGGG